CCAGTGGTGGTAATAAAATGCGGCATAAAAAGGATCTGATTGTGAGGACTTAGTGACTATGAAATAATACAAAGACTCAGTGAGTTAGCTAATTATTCTCTGTTCGGGCTTATGTAAAACATCCCAGTTACATTGGTAAATTTTTGTATGAACAATGGGCTAAGTTGCGCCGGAGAGTTGCGCGACATGGTGGATGTGAATGTGGTCTGATTTAAGAGGCTTACAGTTGAAAAGTTTAGATGACCTCTGAATAATGGCACATAATACGGTCACGTTGCGTGTGTAGAGTTTTAGTGGGCGTCGATATCAGGTAACAATGGGGCAAGCACAAAGACGGACTATGCAGGCAATGAAGAAAACTCCTACCAATGTGGAATCGACAAAAAAAAAAAAAAAATGATGTCTTTTTTTTCTAAATATTAACGGAGCCTCATGTCAGCGGGTACTGAACCTGGAGGAAGTTTTAAGGGGGCAAATGAAATAATTAGATGTTTAGTTCATTGGGAAACTGCCTACAGTTAAGCACAATTGTCTGTGTACTACAATGGCTGTGTGAACTTGGGTGACCGAAGGTCAGCGGTTCGCAACTTTGGACTACGGTGCGGAATTTGGACTCAGACATTCCAGCGGCTTAAAAGAACTGCTGATGTTTCCACGCAAGGCCCCACAGCCCCGCAACGATGACACGCTAGCTTGTGTGTGTTTGTTGTTGTATACAGTACTGTAAATATTAAATATGAAAATTCCACATATCATAGATAAATATGAACGTGACTCTTGGAGTTGTTTGAGTACAGTTGCTATGTGATCAGGATCTAAAATGTATCTTGGGATGTTAGGCTAAAGAATAACACCAATCGTGGCTACGGTTTAAAAATCTTCCAATCATGGTGCCTATACACTGTGCCTTTGTTCAACGTCTCCATGTTTTTTTTCAGTGACTTTATCAATCTGTTGTGCATCTGCAGAGAAAATTTTTTCTCTCCAGGTCCCTGTCTGTCATCCTCGCTCGCTCCTGGTGCTCCACTCTTAGTGTAACACATAATTACTCCGCAGACTTTCTGCCTGTTTCTAGAACTTCTGTGCTTCAAAGAAATTGTCAGAGTGTGGAGAGGAGCATTGTGGGAGTTCCAGGTGGATTTCTTGATAATGAGAGCACAGTGGTAGAGTTGAGCGTTTTAGTAATGGCTGGCTGCTAAGGCTCTTCATGGGAGTTTAATGTAAAACAAACAGGGCCACAGTGGCGGCCTGAGAAAAGCAGATATTGCATTTGCCATAATGCCACTTCAGGGCTATTGCAGGCTTTTTTTTTTTTAAACAAATGAAAATTAGTTGCAAATAATTTATATTCATGAATTTGAGACATTTCAATGCCTCGAGCCTTGAAGGTTTTGCCTTCCACATTCATTTTAAGTGATGAAACTTTCCTATCCTCACCCCCCAAAAAAAATCAAATAGGCTGCAACAAAGCAGAAAATGGGCCATACATCACATATATTTGCATTTACTTCAATAATATTTTCTACACTGCATTAGTGTGGCCTCAGTACTAATGCTCTACTTGATCATTCTTGATTTATAAACGGCATGTGAAGCACAGAATTCCTACTCAAGAGTCCTGCAATAATATTTACTCTAATGTCTGCATGGGACCAAGGGCAGGACAGCACATGAAAATTTTTAACTCAATTTGCATACTACCTGGTATTTTGAACCACAATTAATCTGATATTCATTTTAAATATATGTGACAGACAAAACTGCAAATGTTTCCCACTTCGAGTTCATTTGCGTACAATTCAAAACACTACTTGTGTAGTCTTTAAAAAAAAAAAAAAAAGGGACCCAAGTAAAAATACGCACAAAATACTTGAGACCACAATGTGATTTTAATTCTTTAAAATTGTAATAAATAATTTAATAAATAATACGCAGCTAAAACTTACTGGTTACAATGTTACACCCTAAAGCTCACTTGTAACGGTGTCGGTCACCAGGAATGCCCCACAGGGCACCTCACTAAAGAATCCTCCTGCTTGTTCCACTCTCCACTGCAGACATTATCATCCATAAAACACTGCTACAGCACAACTCACCATATTCTCTTTGCTGATTCGCGGACACTCTGACTGCCACTCCACAATATTTCGCTCACTTGTGGAAGTATTGGGGCCAGATGACGAGCAGTCATATAAAGTGTAAAGCAGAAATCACAGGGTAGACTAGTACACTGTAACCACTCAAACCAATCAACAGTCAGACACTCCCCCATAGATTCATACTGGCAGACATCCAAAGCGAACGGCTACTATCTTCGCAAGCAGCTATAAAGAGAGCCGAGACCACTGAAACGTGAGCCAAAACATATTCTGCAAGCATACTGTGCAGTGAGATATTCCCTGTTTTCCATAAGTAACACATCTCAAGGAGCAATGAAGCAGCCGACAGAGGGGAAGCCGCACAGGGTAAAGATATAAACAATCTGGGCCCCAGTTTTTCAAGGTGGGAGGAAAGTTGCAGTTGGACTCTGAAGAGAGGAAAGGAAGAGCCTTTAATCAACCCACACTACAGAGGTGACACTTTAACATTCCATTTTCCAAATTATCGCCGAAAGACCACAATTCAATATTCATTTCAGTGTTTTGCTTTTTTTTTTTCTATTTCAGTCTCCCCTCTAGAGGCTGCGCACACACACGTGTACACACACAGAGACTGCATCTGAGATGTAGTGCATATTCAACTTCTGTGACTAGATTTAAATTAATTCGTTGTATCCTGTTATCATATATCAGCGTTTAATGATTCGCTTGGAGGATTTCCCCAAGAATGAACTTCATACAGTACAATACAGAACAACTGTCACACGGGGATGCGTGGGGACGTCATTGTGTTTAATGAATAAGGTCGAAATGAAAGTGACAAACAAAGCAACTCTGAGTGACACAGCTGAGTGACTGTTAGTGAGTTTGCATGTGGCACAGCAAATTGTCTTACTCCAAAAAAAAAAAAAGTGGGAAATCTTGTTATTGCAGCCTCATTTTTGTTTCATACACTAAGTCTCCCAGCAAAAAGATTAGAAGATTTTAAAGAAGTACGTAATCTTCTTTAATAGCTTATCAAAACTTTAATGATCTGGTGATAAAGAGCACAAAGTTAAGTAGCCGGTTAAGAGGATAACTCCCCAGTGCAGTCTAGTGATTAGTAGATGAGAATTGGGAGACTGAAAAGCCGGGTTGCAAATCCCACTCCTGCCATTTATTCACTTTGAGGAAGAAGACTCTCCATTTCAGCTTTGGGGGTATTGTCACGGGGTAATCATTTTTGAAGAGTGAGAAGTGGAGTTTCTTCGCTTCACCCCGTGCGATCCTGAACACATATGGTTTGTTGATGTATTCATTTTGCTTCTCTCACTTAACACCCATCAAGACCCAATTATGACTGCAGAAATCTCACATTTTTATTAGCCTCTAATAAAAGTGTCAGTGATCTTCACACTTGTAAGCATCTTGCGTACAATGTCCAACACGTTTTAGGACTCTAGTTTTGTAGATGCCGCATGCAGAAATGCTGTCATATCCTGATTTTTGTGGAGGGGAAAGCCTCGCCGCGCCCGTTTGGGAATTTGGCGCCATGCTGGATGTTCCATCGTAGTGAGGGCATGTCCTTTGACAATACATCTGACATTTTGGTTGCTGAAAGTTGGTATGAACGGGCACGCAGCTCTGGGGGGCGGCACACAACCGGGTGGGGATGGGAGGCTGGTCACCTGTAGCTCATTCCGTATTCAATGAGGGTAAGCGCTTACATTGTCTGTTGCCACACTGACAAAGAGCAGTGACAACGTTTTGGTCAAGCATGGATTGCTGCTTCTGTTTCCGCACACAGATCTCTCCATGTATGAGATGTGAGTGTGCCGTCTTTTAAAGGGACTGAGAGGAGCTGCTTTAGTTGGCGGCAAATGGAGTTGCCTGCTTTCACATCCCCGATGGTGCAAACTGCCCTTTTTTATAGGGGCGCGTCGAGGAAAATACCAACACCCTGTCTAGCCTGCCTCTGTGCAGATTTACACAGCTCATCGCGCCCCTGGCGTTAGGCCTTCAAGTGTCTCACTGACAATGAATTCAAATATGTTGATCAGATCCTTTAATTAATTATTCATATTGATTATTTGTTACCGATCCGCCACCCTTCTGAAAAGATTCACGGAAATCAAATTTTTTTTTTCTATACAACTCTAGCAGTCCATCCATCCATTTTCTAATCTGCTTATCCCCACAAGGGCGTGCTGGAGCCTATCCCAACCGTCTTCGCCAGTAGGCGGGGTACAACCTGAACTGGTTGCCGGCCAATCGGGCACACACATAACAACCATTAACACTCACAGTCACACTTAATAATAATAACTTAGGGACAATTTAGAGTGTCCAATCAACCTACCGCGCTTTTCGGAATGTGGGAGGAAACCACAGTACTTGGAGAAAACCCAGCACATGACGACCTCAGACATTTAGACAACTCTGTAAAAGTCTCACTGCATTATTGTATTTACCTGTACAGAGTGGAAGAAAAGGAACAAATGAAGCAGTGGCAACCCCACCTCACTTCTGTTCTTTATCTCCTCTAAGACAATATAAAAGAGGCGGGGTATTCATTACAGCAGTGACATCTAGAAACAATTAGCTTTCTGTGTCAAGTGATGTTTCTCAGTTCTTGATCAGGGTTTTGATGATATAACTTACTTGCTAGATGAGGAAAACAGATAGCAACTGAGTGTGTGCACGTAATGCTGTGCGCTCATTCTCACGGCCCTGCTCCTCTGAACATTTGAGCGCGTGTGTGGCTCAGAGAAGCGAGGAGCGCACGAGAGAGAGAGTACAAGACCAGTAGACAGGCAGGTGGGAGTTGAGTGGATGGAGGAGCGTCTGTGTTTTAGCGGCGATGCTATGCTGTGCTGTGTTGCAGTGTGGAGAGATAACACCATTCAAGTGTTGCTTGCTTACCTTTGCTGTACACCACACAGTTGTTTTTGTTGTCCTCTGCTCCCTGCCAAGTCACATCCAGCAGCCACTTGGGGCCGGCGCTCAGCACCACCGGGACCGTGCTCTTCGTCTTCTGGAAGGGGGCAGATAACAAACATTAATCATTTGCCTATTTTGGTGATTAGAGAAACACTAATAACCAACGATTTACGCATCCTCTGCTCTGAATGGTCGGTCGTATCCAGATAATTTGACAGCCCATCGAATCCTTTTCTAAACATGAAAGGGATGGGTAGGGTACAGTATATATTGGTGATGGCCCCCCTGACAAAAGGCTGTATTTGTGGTTGGAAAGGAGGGGAAAAATTAGGCAAAAGACGAGAGTGCGTTGACTCAAAAAGAAGTAATTGAAAATCAAGGACCTCAAAGAGATTTACACGAGACTCTCTGGTTCCTCTGAAATGAAGAAAGTATGAGGAAAAGGGGTGATGACTTTCAGAAAGAAGGAAGGGAGTGTTCTGTGGTGAACTTTGGGCACATTGTACCACGCTATCAGCAGGATCTCACTATTTCCTGAAACAAGCAGGGAAGAATTTAAAGAATCAGTATCTATTTCAAAGGGCGATTGAGGTCAGAGCTTTTATAATATGCTGAAAAATTATACTGAATGTGTAAAGTCATTTTTCTTCTTGGTCAGAGGTCAAACATGTTTTTTTTGGGGGGGGGTAGTGGAAAAAGAAAAGAGACAGATAGAGTACAACATCCTTTTAATAGGCTTGCGTGTGAGAGTGCCACAGTCTGTGCTTGCCGCATTTACTCGCCTATCATATGCTTCTTTTTCTCCGATGCTCGCTTTCGTTTAGTGCTTTGTGGAATGCTGTTGTTGAGTGTGCACCTGAGCACACAAGTCTATTACTTCAAGGAAAACTGTCAGAACGTCAATGCCATTACTTTTCGACCCTGAGGCCCTTCTTTTATTTGCGTGTTACAAAACTAGTAATGGCTTGCGAAAATGGGTTGGCGTGCCATCCCAATGCTGTCCATCTGCATAATGCATTGGAAAATAAACTCGTCTTTTCGCACGCCTTTTACTTATTTCTGAGCTTGGCAACAACCTTCAAGGATGAATGCAAATGTCACTTGAGCATGTTAAAGGTCTGAATTGGCAAAGATATGCACATAAGATGAGTGCTGTGCTGGGGCAGTGTGTCTGCATGCCCTCCTTTTCCTCTCCCTCCTCAGCCCCCCCACCCATTTCTCTTTTCATGAACTCTATCTAGTCACAGGCTAGAGGACAAACAGACTTTTTTTTTTTTTTTTTAGAGGAAAGGGCGAAAAAATCTCACGGAGACAACAAAAATCTGTTTGCGATTTTGTATGGAATTGTAAAACAAATATGGGCTCCAAATGAGGATGTTCTATTTATATATAATTCCCCTAGAGTATATTCCTCTGCAGAAACTGCACCGCCAAAGCGATAAAAAAAAACAGACAGTAAATTGCATGGTTGATACTCTTATTTCTTCTCTTGGCATCATCTTATCCCGCCTTGGCAGCAGATGAGAGAAAGACGACCTCTGTAATTTAAGTCATCCTGGATTTCACATTTTAAATTAGCCTCACAATAAAGTCCTCTATCTGGCTAACCTGAAAATCTCACACCCCTGTCAAAGAAGCAGAGCAGACCGGCCGATTGTTGCTAGGACGACTATCTGAAATGGGAATCAGATTAACCCTTTCTTAGATCTCCAGACTGGAGCCATCTCTTATTCAGCAGCGAGAGGCCTTTCTGCCATCCCCCAGAGCCTTTGGGAATTTATGATATTCCAGCTGCTCCCGACGTAGCCCACATAGACTGAAAACCACCCTAACTTGACTTCTAAGTGTTAGACATTGTTCTCACAACTCTTTCTATTTGTTGCTTTAATTTTGTCAGAGTGGTAATTACAAATTACTGACTGAACCGTCAATTCCAGTCTACTTGGCTTCACCCTTGTAGCAAACAAGTGATGACAGTTTCTTACTGCAGATTTACATAACTCATCCACAGTGACAAAATTGTGCCTTGGAAGCATGCATGTAACAGCCGCCACAAAGACAAAGAGATGCACAAGAGCAAGTGCGGGCAACATATTTAGGATTAAGATAGTGTGGCGTCACTGCAGGGAGGAGTGTTTGCAAATGCAAATGAAAACATTTGTACAACCGGATCAGTTGGCCTTAGTGGCTACTATGCAGAGAAATGCAGATTGACAGGCAGAAAATTACAATTTCCCTGAAGCCAGGGAGAAAATGATGAACTGGTTTTATGGAAACAAACTCGCCCTCCATCCAGCATACATGTGTGCTAGACTAAATGTATACACTAATGTTAACTAAACATGACGTGGGGGTTGATATCATTTCTAATTACAAGCCAATAAAAACACACTTGATAGATGATAGAACCTGCTCAGCTCCTGACACACACGCGCAAACAAATTGTGTGTTACTGTATATCCGCCCTCTGCCTTCACCTCAGTGGTTTCAATACTCTCTTGCTTTTTTTCTTGGGCTCTGTTACCTTTCCTCGTGTAAGAGATACACCGACCCAAACAGTGTAGTCAGCGAGGAAGTGATTACAAACTGATGCTCCAAATTCGCCATAAAATGAAAATCAATATTTCCACAAGTTGCTGCAACATAAAAGATAACCTTCATTGATTTTTGGAGACTTAGGCGTCTGTGATAAAATCTAATATAAATTTTCAGCCACACGGATTTGGATCAGAGCAGAGCAGGGGTTGAACGATAAGTTCCGTGCACATCTCTCAGAGTTGGATTTTTTTTCTCCCTCCCCCTTCCGTCTTCCAAGGCAGGGCTGCACTATTTATAATTGGCCCTGTGTGAGCAAAAGCTTCTATCAGGAATCTGTTCTAATTTTTATTACGGAGAAGCTAAAGCCTGTTCCAGATAATTTGGAAATTTCAGGGGAATTGTGATAGAGCTGATGGCACAGCCGGACTGACTCCAGAAAGGAGCTAACCTGTAATAGCCTCTGTGGCTGCGCTGATTAAATGTTGCCATAGATGAAAGACCTGCCATCGCCGCAATAAATTAACCAATCACACAAATCCCAAGTCGCTACTAATCCCTCCTTGATACCATGATCCTCTGATCAGCTGAAGGAGGTAAAGAAGAAAGTGTCTTGTGACACTCAGCCTGCCTCTAACTCCCAGCTTCCCAGTGTAAACAACAAGCTAATGATATCACCGCTGACCATTTCACCACCAGTGGCTGCTCTTAACCCGCTCCGTGGTCAGGGCAGGTGAAATCGATACGAACCTTGGTGGGAATGATTATTTTCCTCAGGCCTTTTTTTTTTTTTGCTCCTCCCACCAAGGTCACGGACTTGCACTGGATTCGTCTTCTGATCCCAGGGCTACAGGATTTAGACAACTGAGAGATCTAAACCGCTCTGTCTGAATATCTCATGACATTCGTTGACTTTAAAGAGAACATATTACGGAAGATGTACTTTTGAATTTTTTGTACGCAAACAATTGGGTCTCTGGGGTGCTGGCCCACCCATCAAGTGTGAAATTAAATTTGCCCCCTCACAAAAAGGTGTCGATGAGTGAAATTCCACACACTGTGACATAACAGTGCCGCTAATTTACACTAAAGAACATACCCACAACGAGTTTCTCCGTCCATGATTTGGCTGCTGGGTAAGCATAAATGTACCACTTACAAGTCAGGGTGGGACAACAATGGCCAAATCAATACATCAAAGCGGAAAAGTGAGCAACCCCGTATTTATGTGATATTTGTGTTGAGTGATGTGTTTGCTGTCGGCGCCACATGCACGGATCCAAAGGCTTATTATATATTGTAGTTGTATAGTTGTATATTTAGCTGTTGACTTGTTGGGCTTCGCAATTCACAAATTTCAGACTGTGGGCTCAATATGCAGCCACACCTAACGACACACTTTGTTGTCACAGTGACAGAATTCGAAAAATCAGTGAGAAAAGCCAAGCAAGTCTGGACATTGTTGCATCCCTTTTAAAGTCACGACTTTATCACCAGGGCACCGACTATCCCCTGTCAGTTAGCTGGCTTTTTACATTAAACATTACATGAAATATCTTTTCTTTGCAGTGTATTCAATTAAATGTAGCTTGAACATGATTTTAAAAATCATTGTATTCTATTTGTATTTATGTTCAACACAACGTCCCAACTTCATTGAAATTGGGTTTGTATATCGTAGTGTATTCATTTTTAACTGTGCTCTGACAATGATAAATAGAACATCATTTGAAGTGGATTATTTGCATTTCCATTCATTTCAATAAACTTGATCACCTCTGTTTACTAACATTTTGGGTTACAAACAGGGTCACGGAACAAAACAGCCACTCTCAAGTCTTTTGGAATATGAAGTCAAACTGAAATATTATCCGAACAACACTGTGGATCAGCACAGCTGACTTTCTCATTTCACAAATGCCTTCTAGATTACATTAACAGCACAAATAAGAGAAACAAGCTAATGTAGTGCTGGCAGGTTTATTTGTTTCCAACAGTGAGGAGTGAGGATAAAGGATTTGTAGCTGTTTTACCAGTCAGTTTACAGCAGACAGCACACTCACACCTTGATAACGTCCATTGCAATTAGTTGTTCACCGCGATGAAACAAATTGCATGTGGTCAACTGGAAATTTCATTAAGAGAGATTTTCCTCTAGCCCTCGTTATCGCCACGCGTTTTAATATTTTCTTAGCTTCAAGGATGGATGGGTTGCAAGGGCCTTTTTTTTTTTTTTCAAATACAGTAATTGGCCAAAGCTAACCTTGCAGCCCGTATCTCACTGCTATTCGTGTTCCCAAAAATGGTGTATATGTATATGCGTAGTTAAGTGAGACATAGTTTTCATTTTTCCTTGCTCCCAGAAACAAGGTTGTATGCCAACATGGGACACAAAATGGGTAATGCCTCATATGAATGGCCATGGTTACATCTGGCTGAGATGAAAAGATACCTACGTAATGCTTCAATTCCTTTTACAGCCCCTCTCCAAGGCTACAGCATCTGCGGCTGGGAGACTAAATAACGGAAATACGCAGGAATTGCACACTAATTCCCTTT